ATATAAATATATATATAAATATATAATATATATATAGGCATATATGTATATATAGGACTCCTTTCCTTTTATTATATTTATTAATCTATTTTGTGCATATTATTCAAATCAAGTGTGGACAATTATATATAGTGAGAAAGTATTTGATTGTCTTCAAATATTATATTGTACCATTTTGTGTCCTAGAAACTGTGCTTTCGCTCATACGTACTCGTATTTACTCCCATATTTATGCTGCTCTTGAAAGCTTCAATAAACGTCGACTATGATTTCTTATTTTAGTAATAATTTAGTTAATTGTGGACGAAATTGATTGATTTTTACCTTATTTGAAAGCTAATATGTTAAAGAATAATATTAATTTGGTACAAATAGTCAAAGGTGAAAAATACGCGAGATGGGAGCGAAGAAATTTGAAAAAAGTGAAAAAATGGCATTTTTCCGAAGTTTAAGGTCGATGAGCGACCTCTAAACATTATCCGATTAGTCTAAAACTTTACATTTAGTAGTTTTTTGAGTATTCGAATAAATTTAGGGCGTAGCATCTAGAATTCGAACACATTTTTTTGCCCCCATACATATTACGGCCACCCTAATATATATATATATATATATTGATAGGGGAAAAACTAAACTCACGATTATTTAATATTTAAATATTAAATTAAAAAGTGCTTTAAACAAATAAAATGAAAACCGAAAGCACTTAATAGTATACATTGTGTAGCGCATTTTATGAAAGAGGTCATCAGTTCCTATCTGAATGAACTAGATCAGTTCATAGCACTTCATAATATACATTGTGTAGCGCATATTATGAAACAGGTCAGCAGTTGCTATCTGAATGAATTAGATCACTTTTTCACTCAATAGTTCAATGAGTAAAGAGATGACTTTCTTATTTCTTATCCCTTATATACATATTGTAGGTTAAAAATTCTCCTTTATCATACAGAAATATGTACTATTTGATAATTTGTTATAGTAATGTGATAATATTTAGAAAACTACTTACTACTGTATTGTATACTGTATACTACTTTTTGAATTATATTTACATATGTTTATATTGATATTAGAAAGGTGCATAATCCTAGAATTAAATAAATAATTTGAAATAAATTGTTAGATCTTGAACGTAATTGTAATCTGTAATAGTAATCTGATAATATATTATTTAGAAAACTACTTACCACTTTATTTACCAATTTTATTTAAAACCAAAAATTAAATACGAACCTGTAAAAAACTTAATTATTAATTTAAAGTTTTTGTGAGTTCACGTTTTTTTAAAATTTCGTATCGTCGGCGATATTTATATAGACTACTATATAATAACAAAAACAAAAAAAAAACTGATCTATGAACTTTTATTTTCTATTCACATCAGTCTGTTTTTCAACATTTAAAATAAATGATTACTTATTACGTTAATTAGTATGAGAATGAGTAGGAAGGTATATCTGAAGGGGCTAGGCACTTAAAACTCTTTAACAAAACCACTATCATCTCTCAAGCGGAAATATACGCCATCGATGGGTGTGTCTAATGTAATTTAAAACATATTTATAAAACCAAAAGTGCACCCATCTTAACTGACAGCTACGCTACTATCAAAGTACTTATATCTCAGTAGGTAACTTCAAAATTTATGATGAAGTGTTGCGAAAAGTTGAAGGTGTTTGACTTGAAAAATTAAGTATGGATTCTACGATTAATAGTAATGCTAAGGCACATAAATTTACAAGAAAAGTAGATGCAGGCTTTTTCGATCTGGAAAATAAAAGTGCATACCTACTTAGTGGGCTAGAAGAAAAATAAAAAGGAAGGTTATATTAAAGCAATCTATCGGGTTTCTTACATACCAAGAAGAGGAAGAACTAAAGAAACAAAGTAGAATCTTAAACAGATTGATTGTAGATTGAACTATATACGTGATGGTTTAATTTACGATCAATATACTTAACAGAAAGTAGTTTTTAATGAAAACTGCAGGTTTTGCAAGGAGGGGACGCAGATCGTGAAGTCCATATTAGGAAAGTGCACTGATGCATAGACGGAAATGTGTAATCTATAATCGTGGTTTTAAACTGAAAAATAATGAATTTTACTGATATTTGTTGGTTGTATGACTGGGAGATTTACTTTAAATCCATGAAGGGATATAAATAATTTTAAAGTCATATTGCTATACCCTCCATGTTACGAGTATAATAATGAACGTTAGAAACACAAATTAATTTACAAAATTTTAATTGTGATATATATATTAGAATCATATATATTAGAATATATATATATTCTATATATAGTTTTTGTTTGCTTGCATCCTCTTTATTAAAATACAATTGTTAAGTCAAAAATGCAATCATAATGAAATAAATTTATGAAAGAGTCCTGGAACATAAAACAACGTAGCCCATACCAGAACATTTTCGCTAATCGCGTCAATTCAATACAGCAAATCAGAGACTGGCTTGAAACTGTCGTACAACTTAGACTATTGTCCTTAATTCGAAAAATATGCAGCAATTGTGCAATTTTTCTTACAAAATTCATGTAAAAACCATATAAAATATGCTATATATAATAGGTTCGATAAGTCTAAGTGTGAACTTAGTATTATAGATACAAAATTCATGTAAAAACCATATAAAATATGCTATATATAATAGGTTCGATAAGTCTAAGTGTGAACTTAGTATTATAGATACAAAATTCATGTAAAAACCATATAAAATATGCTATATATAATAGGTTCGATAAGTCTAAGTGTGAACTTAGTATTATAGGTATTATAATTGATTTCAGGAGCCATACTTACATACATATGTTATTTCGTATTTGATTTATCTTTTATATACATCTTAATAACGAAAATATATTCAATATGTTCAAGACCCTGATGTAGCACAGAGTTTTTAATAAATGTTTGGATCCACTGTTTTTTATATATTTTATTTTATTAATTGTTGAAATATGTTCTATAGGAGCTGAGGAATTATATAGAATACAATATATCGACGGAGTGCTTCATTCGACCCAAGGTTTCCATTTTTGGAAATGTTTAATCAATAAATTAATGTGAGTGTAAATAATATTTGTTGTGTTATTGACAATTTTATCAGCAGGTGATGTGTGAATATAGAGAGAGTTCTGAGGGCTGGAACTGAAGAATAATAGCAACAAATGTATTATATTTATATTATATAATATATTATTAAATATATCAGTAGGAAACTTTGTAGAGCTGTATAGTTTTAATTCTAAATGATATGTTTCGCAGGAAGCTTCCAATAAATTTAATTTTAATAAGTTTTCAATTTATACCTTTTGATAGCTATTCTATTCTATTTTAATAGAATTTGGATAGAATTTTGGATAGAATAGAAGTATCATTTCCTTATGTTTTTTAAAGTTTAAACGGTTATATTATTTCATTTAACGTAGTAATTCGTTAAAAATATCGACTCCGTAAATCCGCGCACATATCCTCTTCGTTGAATAAAATTACACTTTAACGTACTTAAGCTTGTCATATGCAGTTTAATTGTATTTAAAATTGAAATGCCATTTAACAATTTATTGTATTACTTATTATTTATCTATAAATTATTAATAATCGCTCAGACAAAGCCAATATACATAAATAACTAATACATTAAATGGTATATCACAAATATTCTAGTTTATTACTTTATGAAACGCAAATGACAAATGGCGACAAAATTCGCATATAACTAAATTGGCTGAATTTTATTCAATTTAATTTGAAATAGTTAATTTATGAATTCATTTAATTGAAATTTTTTATATACATTCACCAGAGTTTATTTAATTTATATACATGTCAATATTTATTCGATATGATATATATTTTAATATAATAATATTTTAATTAAATTAGATGTTCCTGTCAGAAGATATTAACTCTTGATAGTCCTGACGCCGAAACATAGTTAAAGTTAGAGATTATTGTTTTATTGAGACACGGGGTATGTGTATATCATAACACTCGAGATTGATTTTTAACACTCTAGATATTTTGCCAGTCTAGCCAGATTAGCCTGAAATTCACAGCTGTTTTATATGATTTGACATACAAAGTGTGATTTGATCTGATATTTGTATGTATGTATAAAAATATAAATGTACTAATATTAATGGAAAAAATTATACTACTAACACTACTACAAAAATATTGCATTACTCTAAAAATGTTTGATTTGACAACAAAATTTGACAAATTCGTTAGTAAATCTAGATTGAATTCAGATATACTAAATGTTACGATATGAAATCAATTATCGTAACGAGATGGCATCACTAAGGTGATCAGCTGTTTTGGAACATGGAAAAAAGAGAGATAGGAAAAAGCGCGTGCACATGTAATAATTAATTGATAATTGAATAATTAATTGATAATTGAATAAATAATTGTGAATAAATAAAATAGAATTATCTAAACACAGAAATATAACAGTGGCGACGAGGAAAACTTTTAAAGTGTAAAAATATAGCAAGATGGCAGAGCAACTTGCTGATATTCTGAAACAAATTCAGAATCAAAATCATCAAGACAATCTTGCAATGCAGAATCTTATCGCAAAATTGTTTAAAGAAGGAAAATCAGAAGTAGCGGACGATGCCGCAAAAACACGATTGCTTTTACGTAAATTGAACACCATTGTTCATAATAAATACATCAATTATATTCTACCAAATCATAGTCGTGATTTTACTTTCAAAGACACAGTAGAAAAACTCAAGAAACTTTTTGGAAATCAGATTTCACTATTCAATACTAGATTCAATTGCTTACAGATAACAAAGCAGCCCACACAAGATTTCGTTACATATGCGAGCATGGTTAATAAGCAATGTGAATTATTCAAAAACGCACAAAAATGTTAAATAAATTGGAAAATGAAAGCACGAAAGTCACGTTGGAGACCTTATCAACAGAATGCCAAAAGATACTAAATTTAAAAGTCGATACAATGCTCATAGAAAGCAATGCACAGGTAAATCGTTTACGTGTCAATAACCATAAAACTGAAAAACAAATCAAAAATAATGGCAAGTCAAAAGAACCTTCAAGTTTACCGAAAACACCTTGTTGGTTTTGTGGTGAATTTCATTACTCGCGGCACTGTCCATTCAAAAATCACAAATGCGACAGATGCAAACTTGTCGGGCATAAAGAAGGATATTGCAAATACCGAAAAACTCAAAATGAAAATCAAAAATACCATAAAATTGATAAGGGCCGTCAATTCAATTCAAAAAGCATCTTTACTACAAACAAAGTCAATATGAATAAACGTAAATACATATTAGTCAAAATTAATGGCACACCATTAAATTTGCAACTTGACACAGCATCAGATATAACAATAATTTCTGAAGACAATTTCAAAAAAATCCAAGCCGATAATGTTAGCGAATCAGAACATACAGCACGCAGCGCAACAGATGAGTTACCATTGTCAGCAAAATTTAAATGCAATGTAGAATTTCGAAATCAACACCAAAGTTTAACTTGTTTTGTTACTCCTATACAAAATCTCAACGTAATGGGATTAGATTGGATACAAGAATTGAACTTATGTAATATGTCAATCAATTCTATTTGTAATAGTATTTGTCAAAATCAGGATAGTATTCAATTGTGTTCAAATCCGAATAAAGATACTCACCTGAAACATTTTTTTTCAGATGTATTCGATGGCAAAATGGGGTTATGCACTAAAACAAAAGCAGTAATCACAACGAAACCAAACGTTCAGCCAGTATTTAGGCCAAAGCGTCCAGTTGCATATCCGGTACAACAACTAGTTGAAGATGAACTCAAAAGACTCCAAGAATTAAAGGTTATTTCACCAGTAAACTTCTCCGCATGGGCAGCACCTATAGTTGTTGTGAAAAAAACAAACGGAAACGTACGCATATGTGCTGATTTCTCAACTGGTCTAAACAACTGCCTCGAATCACATCAATACCCATTACCATTACCAGAAGATATATTCTCAAAATTGGCAAATTCAAAAATATTTAGCCATATAGATTTATCGGATGCATTCTTACAAATCGAGGTTGATGACGCATCGAAACATCTACTAACAATAAATACACACATCGGGCTATTCCAGTATAACAGAATGGTTTTTGGAATAAAAACATTTCCAGCAATTTTTCAACAAATTATGGACCAAATGTTAGCAGGACTAAATTGCACTGCATCATATATTGATGACATATTTGTTTCCGGTAAAACAGCATCTGAACATACAGACAATTTATATGCAGTTCTTACAAGGCTACGTGATTATGGGTTTAAATTAAAATACGAAAAATGTAATTTCTTTAAAACTGAAATTAAGTATTTAGGGTACATCATTAATCAAGAAGGGTTAAAACCTGATCCAGAACGTATTGCCGCTATCAAGCAAATGCCAGAACCATCAAATATTACAGAATTACGTTCTTTTCTTGGCGCAATAAATTTTTACGGAAAATTTGTTCCGAAGATGCGTGAGTTAAGAGGACCACTTGATAATTTACTTAAGTTAAATGTAAAATGGAAATGGGACGCGATACATCAGAAGTCTTTCCATCATCTTAAAGCTATAATGTCATCAAATTTATTATTATGCCATTATGATCCAAATCAGAAGCTAATTGTAGCTGCTGACGCATCAAACTATGGGTTAGGCGCATGCATCATGCATGAATATTCAGATGGATCCATTAAACCTATTTGCCATGCTTCACGTTCTCTCACTCCGGCAGAACAAAAATATAGCCAGATAGAAAAAGAAGGACTTGCACTCATATTTGCAGTTACCAAATTTCATAAAATGTTGTATGGAAGAAGATTTATATTGCATACCGACCATAAGCCTTTACTGACTATTTTCGGTAGAAAAACAGGCATTGCTATACATCAAGCTAATCGTCTTCAAAGATGGGCAATTCAGCTTTTAGCATACGATTTTGAAATAAGATTCATTTCAACAAACAGTTTCGGATACGCTGATGTATTATCTAGACTTATAAACAACAACGAAAATATTTCTGAAAATTACGTTGTAGCATCAATCAAATTAGAAAGAAGTGTAAATGAAATTATAGTTAACACTATAAATACTTTACCAGTAACACATAAAATGATCACATATGAAACAGCAAAAGATCCAATTCTAAAACAAATAATATATTATATTACAAATGGTTGGCCTAACAAAACAATAAATAATAGAGAATTACAAGCATTTTTACACAGGAAAAATGAGTTATCATTAATAAATGAATGTGTTGTGTACGGTGAACGTATTGTTATTCCACAAGTCTACAAAAAACGTGTACTTAAACAATTACATCGTGGTCATCAAGGTATTGAGCGTACCAAGGCATTAGCACGGAGTTTTGTATATTGGCCAAACATTGATACTGATATAAAAACATTTATTTAAAATTGCAATCAATGTGCAAATGCAGCAAAGATGCCTACGAAAACATTACTTCATTCTTGGCCCACACCAAGCGAACAGTGGGAGCGGGTGCATATAGACTATGCTGGACCGATAGAAGGATGGTATTTTTTGGTCATTGTTCAAACAAAAGCAATGTCATCACAAGCAACCGTGAATATTTTAAATGATATTTTTGCCCGATTTGGTCTGCCAAAAACAATCGCATCAGATAATGGAACACAGTTTCGTAGTGAACATTTTGAACAATTCTTAAAACATAACGGCGTTGAACATCTATATTCCAGCCCTTACTATCCAATGTCGAATGGTCAAGCTGAAAGGTTTGTAGACACTTTCAAAAGATCTTTAAAAAAATTAGAAGGAGAGGGGACGATCACACAAAATTTATGCACATTTCTTCAGACATATCGTTCAACACCGAATGTAAACTCACCAGAGAAGCGATCTCCAGCAGAAGTCATGTTCGGAAGGAAAATGAGAATAAATTTAGATTTGCTGCAGCCAAAAAAGCTACACAATGCAAAGTTAAGTCCAAATAAATTCAAAATGGAAAAGCAATTTAACAAAAGGTACGGTGCCAAGGAAATAAAATACTTTCCATCAGATAAAATTTACGCCAACATTCCAAATGGAGTTAACCGTTTCAAATGGATGCCTGGGGAAGTCATTGAGAAAAAAGGAAAAGTAATGTACAATGTTATTCTGAACAATGGAAAATTAATTCGAATTCATTGTAATCAATTACGAAAGCGCTACCACGACCAAAATAATAACCACAGGTTTTGGGAAGCTGCACTAGATGTGTATGACTTACCGCAACAATCAAATCAGTTTATAAAAGCACTCAACAATCAGACACTGCCTAATATTCTACCACTATCGACATCGCCAACCGAGTTACCCATAATGCCTACAACAATTTCAACACCTACATCACCTGTTCTTCGTAGGACAACACGTAATCGCAAAGCAGTCACTAGGTTTCAACCACAGTAAAACATTTCGAAAAGGGAAGGTGTTACGATATGAAATCAATTATCGTAACGAGATGGCATCACTAAGGTGATCAGCTGTTTTGGAACATGGAAAAAAGAGAGATAGGAAAAAGCGCGTGCACATGTAATAATTAATTGATAATTGAATAATTAATTGATAATTGAATAAATAATTGTGAATAAATAAAATAGAATTATCTAAACACAGAAATATAACACTAAAAATGTTCGATTTGACAACAAAATTTGACAAATTCGTTAGTAAATCTAGATTGAATTCAGATTTACCAATCAAAAACGCCGAAAGTGTGATGTATCAATAGCAATGCATTGGATAATATTTTATATTGTATTTATAGATAGTTTTTGATATATTAGTTTAATTATTTGATGATATTTTTTAACAATGAGATAAGTGAGATATCAATAAGTTGAATACAATAACATTTTTATTTTATTTAACAATTTATATAAACGAAGACTGCATCAAATGTAGCCATCATTGACCCACTTACTGCCTATGTCCATGATCTGCAGGAGTGACTTATCACAAAGTACCCTTCTTTACAACAAAATAAATCTTTGGTGCGGTTATATCCGATTGTTTGCCTTCAGCTTTTAAGTCTAATTGTGTGTCCAAATAGTGATTCTATATAAAATAAAATTTCAAGCTCCATAAGCTTTTTATATTATTTAGTAGATTTGGCAGTTTTCTGGTATAGAATTTCATAAATGTGTGTCGCTTATTTTTCAGATAAAAATCTCGCGTTACCATGTATGTACACGCTAATTTCTAAAACAGCTTGAAAGATTAAATAGTTTTGGATCCAGTAGGTGGCGCTGTTGTTGTGATATAGCAATATTTTTTAAGTTGTTGAGCTGTTAATGTTTTCTGTATTCTTGGATTGGATTATCGTTTATTAAAACACATCTGTTCTTTCAATGTTTAGAAGAGGAGAGTTCAAAAAGTTCGATAAGTCAGCGATAAATTAAGAGTTCATATTCTTTTTTAATTTTTAATTATTTTTTTAGTAAAGCCATCTTTGAGCTTTATTCTGGAATAATAAGAACATTTTTTTAATCGTATACTTTTAGAAAAATTGGATTCTACAAGGTCCTGAAAATACTTATTATTTAGCATTCTTTTATATATAAAGATGTTATGTTAAAGAAATCTAAAATTTAAAGAAATCGAGGAATGTGGGATACCTTAAAACGTAATACGATTAATTTGGATTATTTAATTGCTGACATATTAGGAGAAGCGTTGGTATGGGGATGATTGGGTCGAGTGATATCATTGTTGTATTCCACTCAATGGGGTCTACTTTAAAAATAACAAAATTAATTTTGTTTTATTGCAAAATGTTATGGTATTTCATTTAATAATAAAAAATACTATTTTATATTGGATACTTGGATACTTTTTACACTTATATTTACACTTATATTACACTCCATAGTTATATATTTTAATAACGATATAACAAATATTGTTCTTCTCTTCTTCTCTTCTGAATAAATTCCAATATCGTATATGATAGTGTTTGTTTATTTAAAAATAACCTATCCTCTTCATCGTCAATGAAAAAAGTTAAATGATATTTTTTAATCGTATAGTGAAGTATTATTAAGGCAAAATAACATTTACTAAAATAATAATATCACTTTTATTGTTATTAAACCGGAATTTATCAGATCTTCTTACTGCTTCCATTATACTCTTTCCTTTATATTGCTGATCTTGATAAGGAACTGGTTTCAGCGACACAAAGACCGAAGAATATAAATTTAATACTTGAAATTCTAAGTGATAAAATTAAAAAAAAAATTAACTAAAAATTAACAGGTTATGTAGTTTTTATAAATCAATGGATAATATAAAAAATTCTTATTTAAATGACACACATCATCTGTTTACCACTTTTGTTATAAAATTATGGTATAAACAAAAATATATAATTATTGTTTATTTATTTATAAAAAGAATACTTATGTATTAAAAAAAACACTTTTCTGCTGCATAAAATTAATAAAACTGCACCGATAGCAATTAAGAAGTTCTAAGTTTAAATTAAGATCTTGACTTACAGTATTTAATCCGATTATATGAGAATTAATATTTTATTATTCCTTTCATCAATACATATTTTTCAAATTAACAGATCAGTAGTAGTTCTTTTGCTGACTTCTAGGAAAGTAGTATCATCTGCAAAAGATGTGGATATATGTCTGTTACATGATGGCAAAATAGTACATAAGTGTAGACAAATACCGAATGGAGTTGAGGGTCCCATATTATGGTATAGTGTTTATGCTTTTTAAAGGATGAATTAGTTATACTGTAAGTAATCAGCCGACCCGTTTTACGTTAAGAAAAGCAATGCATTTGGTTATTAGTGCTGAAGTGAAAACAAAACGAAACGTAAGAAAAAATAAACTGATGTTGTATTTCTTTATTTCTCTTTGTATTTCTTTATGTGCGAAGTATTTAGTGATCAGATTAAAGTTCTGTTGTTTGTGCTATTATATTGATTTTCATTGTGTATACTATGTTATAATCAATTATATTCTTGCCTTTTTCCGTTTACGTTTCTACTGTCGTTAAGTTTACGACAAATAATTCTTCCTTACATTATAGTTAGGATTTTAATATCGTTCTCTGAAAAAAAAATACATAATACAAAAAATACATAATATTAAATAAAAAATATTATTTTTCCGGTAAATAATAACAATATTCTTATGTACTTCAACATGAATTATTTTTATGTTTATCAAATTACTACTAAAAAAATATGCATTAAAAAACCTTGCCTGAGTAGAAAACTTTTTGTACTACATAAAAAGTACAAATTATTTTAGAATTATAAATTAAAAATAGTATATTTTAAATGATAAATTATTAACTACCAATTCTAATACTATGTTCAGATACACCTTAATTTCACAAAAATCTTAATTTGATCTTCGTTTTAGCGAAATTAATTTGTTTTTTCCATACAAGATTCAGTTTTGATGTTAGAACGAAATGAAGTAAAATGACATTAATTTCGTTGAAACGAAGGCTGAAATTAAGAGACAATTCAAATGCAACTATGTGAAAGATAAATTTTAAGTAAAAGATAAAGTTGGGATAACGATAAAGTGAAATTTTTTTTGGAATAAATGTCAGTGACAGTTGACTTTAATAAAATCAATTAATTTTTAAAATTGAATATAGAGAAAGAACTGTAACTGCTATTAATTTAAAATAGAGTGAAAAATAATAATTCACACACCTGAAATCCACTAATACTAATAAAACTACTCAATGTCATTATTTATAGTTATAATAACCAATTTTTAAAATTTCCGAGATACAAATGTTGTTTGGAGCATATAATATTTAACATTCGATTTGTAAACCAAAATCATATGATTTCCTTCATTTGGGGCAGTATGAACACTTTCGAAATTAACTTAATTTCATTTTTAAGGAATTGAGGAAATTTGGTTGTCTGAACATATCATAAGTATAGGTATAACTTATAAATAAAAAATATTATAAATTGTTAATTATAAGTTAAAAACAAAACGAAATAAAAAAATATGTTTGACTTTCCCCTGTCTGCGTTCAATATTTTTTTGTTTTTTCTTTATATATTGAATATCATTCAAGTCGTTACAGAAGTTTTTAGGACGACCTCCTATTACAAAAATCATTTGCAACCGCGCTGTTAGACTGAAAATGGCAGAGGTCTGGTCAGAAGGTACATATCAATATAGCCAGATACTAGTTATAGTTCCAAACTGTCTGCATGGAATGACATCGGATTATTTGAATTTATATATTGGCTTTGAAAGAAATTTTTAGACAATATTCCCTTTAAGAAACGAATAGAACATTAGAAACTTTAAAGTAAATTACGATATTTCAATCTATACAAATGGTTTAAAAATGAGTAGGCATTTTCGCATCATCTACACACATAAACAATTTTC